CTGCAACCTCCACCTCCTGAGTTCAAGCGATTCTCCTGCCTCAGCCTCCCGAGTAGCTGGGATTACAGGTGCCTGTCACCTGTAATGGAGTTTTACTATTTGTGCCAGGCTGGTCTTAAAATCCTGATCTCGCGATCTGCCCTCCTTGGCCTCCCAAGTGCTGGGATTATAGGCGTGAGCCACCACACCTGGCTGAGGGTCCTCAATAATTTTTAGGACTGTAAAGGGATCCTGAGACCACAGTATTCAAGAATCATGACACTAGATGTATTCCTCTTGACTGACAGCTAGTTGTTACTCTACGAGTTGTCATAAATAATGTGAAAATTTGCCGGGCGCAGTGGCTCACACCTGTAATCCCAGCACTTTAGGAGACCGAGATGGTTGGATCATGAAGTCAGGAGTTCAAGACCAGCCTGGCCAACATGGTGAAACCCCATCTCTATTTAAAAAAAAACACACTTTGGAAGCCAAGGCGGGTGGATCACCTGAGGTCGGGAGTTCAAGACCAGCCTGACCAACATGGTGAAACCCTGTTCTTAAAAAAAAAAAATGTGAAAATTCTTTCCAGAAATTCTGACATTTTTCTTCTAAGGCAGAGGTAGTATAGCCAGGCAGACACTGGAAATTTCAGAGACTGAAGCTCTAATCCTGGCTATGCCACTAACTGTGTGATCCCAGGTAACTTCTGAACTTCTCTAGGGACCAGTTTCTGCATTTGTTTTTTCTGTTGTTGTTGTTTGTTTGTTTGTTTTTGAGACGGAGTTTTACTCTTGTTACCCAGGCTGGAGTGCAATGGTGCAGTCTCTGCTCACTGCAACCTCCGTCTCCCAGGTTCAAGCGATTATCTTGCCTCAGCCTCTTGAGTGCTGGGATTATAGGCATGCACCACCACACCCAGCTAATTTTTGTATTTTTAGTAGAGAGGGGGTTTCACCATGTTGGTCAGGCTGGTCTCGAACTCCTGACCTCATGATCTGCCCACCTTGGCCTCCCAAAGTGTTGGGATTATAGGCGTGAGCCACCACACCTGGCCAGTTTCTGCATTTGTAAATGAGGGGCTTTATGGGATTGACCACTAGGCTTAATATTAGTTTTTAAAGAGCTAAATGAACCTTCACAAATCTCTCTGAGGGATGAAGAAAAATGAGGCAGGAATTTTTTCTTTTTTTTACTGACAGGTAAGTTAAAGTCCAAAACATTAAGAGAAGCAATGGCACGGCTGGACTCAGTGGCTCACGCCTGTAATCCCAGCACTTTGGGAAGCTGAGGCAGGAAGTTCACCTGAGGTCAGGAGTTCGAGACCAGCCTGGCCAACATGGTGAAACCCTGTCTCTACTAAAAAAAGAAAAAAAAAATTAACTGAGAATGGTGGCACATGCCTGTCATCTCAGCTACTCTGGAGGCTGAGGCAGGAGAATCACTTGAACCTGGGAGGTAGAGGTTGCAGTGAGCTGAGATTGTGCCACTGCACTCCAGCCTGGGCAACAAGAGCAAAACTCCATCTCCAGAAAAAAAAAAAAAGAAATGAAAATTAATAAAAACAGTACTTAGGCTGGGCACAGTGGCTCAGGCCTTTAATCCCAGCACTTTGGGAGGTCGAGGTGAAAGGATTACTTGAGCCCAGAAGTTCGAGTCCAACCTGGGCAACGAAGTGAGATCTCATCTCTACTAAAAGAAATAACATTTAAAAATAGTATTTGCATGCTATAATAATAATAGTACATAGCATTTTAAAAATATTTAAGTGAAAGCATTTTTTTTTTTGAGATGGGCTGGAGTGTAATCACAGCTCACTGAAACCTTGAACGCCTGGATTCAAGTGATTCTCCCACCTCAGCCTCCCAAGCAGCTGGGACTACAGTCATGCAACATCACACCTGGCTAATTAAAAAAAATTTTTTTTGGCAGAGCACGGTGGCTCACACCTGTAATCCCAACACTTTGGGAGCCCGAGGCAGGTGGATCACAAGGTCAGGAGTTTGAGACCAGCCTGACCAACATCATGGTGAAACCCTGTATCTACTAAAAATACAAAAATTAGCCGGCGTGGTGGCGTGGTAGGCAACAAGAAGGAAACTCCATCTCAAAAAAAAAGAAAGACAACAACAAAAAACCCGCTGGGCGAGGTGGCTCATGCCTATAATCCCAGCACTTCAGGAGGCTGAGGGCAGATCACCTGAGGTCGGGAGTTCCAGACCAGCCTGGCCAACATGGTGAAATCCCATCTCTACTAAACATACAAAAGTTAGCTGGGCATGGTGGTGGGCATTTGTAATCCCTGATACTCAAGAGGCTGAGGCAGGAAAATCACTTGAACCCAGGTGGTGGAGGTTGCAGTAAATCGAGATTGCACCATTGTACTCCAGCCTGGGCCACAAGAGCAAAACTCCTTTTGTACAGACAGGATCTTGCCATGTTGCTCAGGCTGGTCTTGAACTCCTGAGCTCAAGAGATCCTCCTGCCTTGGTCTTCCAAAGGGCTAGATTATAGGCAGAGCCACTGTACCTGGCCAACCACGGTACTTGGTTTACAAGTGACGTGTTAAATGCATTCTACTCTACACCTTTTAGAAAAGACCACCAGAGACAGTTTTCCTTTAGTCGGCAGGGCTGCCGTACACCTTCCTGTTGCTACCTCAGGGCTCCATCGAGTCTCCAGCTTCTGTCATAATCTAGTCCGAGGAGAGGCACATGTGGTGAGGAACCGAGACATCTTGCCAACAAGCGACAACTTGTAGTGTGTGCCTGAGGTCCCAGCTACTTGGGAGACTGGGATGGGAAGATGACTTGAGCCCAGGAGGTGGAGGCTGCAGTGAGCTGTGGTCATGCTGACACACTCCAATCTGGGTGACAGAGCAAGGCACTATCTCAAAACAAGTAAACAAACAAAAAAACAGAAAAAGCAGGCCAGGCGAGGTGGCTCACGCCTATAATTCCAGCACTTTGGGAGGCTGAGGCAGGTAGATCAGGAGGTCAGGAGTTCAAGACCAGTCTGGCCAAGATAGTGAAACCCTGTCTCTATTAAAAATACTAGTCAGGTGCAGTGGCAGGTGCCTATAAGCCCAGCTACTGGGGAGGCTGAGGCAGGGAATTGCTTGAACCCAGGAGGTGGAGATTGCAGTGAGCCGAGATCACACCATTGCCCTCCGGCCTGGGAGACAGAGTGAGACTCCATCTCAACAACAACAATAGAAAAACAGAAAAAGCAACCAAATCTCATGGGATGTACTGATTTGCTTAGCAACAAAGTTATACCTAGAACAGCAGCTGCAATTGGAGTCACCAGGCTTTGGATAACCCATTTTCATTCTCCTATGTCCTTCAGTCTTGCTGACAGGCAAACAGGTGATTTGAGCAGGGATATGGTAGGAATTATCACCTCTGTGTCTTTCAAGACCTCGTTGGTGGCACTAATCTCTTCAATCCTTCCAGAAATGCGATATTGTTTTTTGTTTACTATTTTAGTATGTAGACACAGTTCTGGGGGATTCCACTTGGCCTTTTCTATCACGATAGCCTTCATTCCATGGGTCAGAGAACCAATACGAGGACTCTACCAGTTGCTGAGTATGTTTACTCAGATACCTACTGAATATATCTAAACTGCAATGCGTACCCCCCTGTGCATTCTGGAACTGGGGAAATAATGATGGGATGAGTTCTGGGAACCACTGGGCTTGCTGTGAAATGGAGCCAAGCCAAAACTTCATAGATCATCTGACTTCCATGAGCCCCTACTCTGACAATAGGACACTGTGCCATTTTGGTTCTCCAGGGATTAGCACCAGTTCTGAGCCAAGGTTACTAAGTCCTAAATGTCTGGTCATTTTCTCTGCTTAAAGCACAGTTGCCTGGTATAATGGCTGCAGGTCTCTTTGAGGAAATGCTAAGAAGAAGCTTTACAGTATAACTTTTCGACAGTGTAGCAAATCTTTCCTCAAAGGGTCTTTCCTTCATTCAAGGGGCCTGGGTATGGGGACTGTTTCTAATCTAAGAATTGATTGAAGGGCTCTTACTCTTAATTGTCAGAAGGTGGCCGGGCATGGTGGCTCACACCTGTAATCCCAGCATTTAGGGAGGCCAAGGTGGGTAGATCAGGAGGTCAGGAGTTTGAGACCAGCCTGGCCAACATGGTGAAACCCCATCTCTACTAAAAATACAAAAGTTAGCTGGGCATGGCACGCCTGTAATCCCAGCTACTGGGGAGGCTGAGATAGAAGAATGGCTTGAACCCAGGAGGCAGAGGATGCAGCGAGCCTGGGTGACAGAGCAAGACTCCATCTCTCTCTTTTTTGTTTTTGAGATGTAGTTTCGCCCTTGTTACCCAGGCTGGAGTGCAATGGCACGATCTCGGCTCACTGCAACCTCCGCCTCCTGGATTCAAGCAATTCTCCTGCCTCAGTCTCCCGAGTAGCTGGGACTACAGGCATGCACCACCATGCCCAGCTAATTTTTGTATTTTTAATAGAGACAGGGTTTCACTATATTGACCAGGATGGTCTCGATCTCTTGACCTTTTGATCCACCTGCCTTGGCCTCCCAAAGCACTGGGATTATAGGCGTGAGTCACTGCGCCCGGCCAAAACCCTGTCTCTTAAAAAAAAAAAAAAAGGCAAACTACTAAAGCCATTTCAAAATAACTCGAACTGATACCTTAAATTCAGAACCTCTGCTTAGTGCACATTTTACTTCTTTAAAACTTTTTTTTACTTGGGAGGCCGAAGCAAGTGGATCATCTGAGGTCAGGAGTTCAAGATCAGCATGGCCAACATGGTGGAACTCCGTGTCTATTAAAAATGCAAAAATTAGCCCCGAGTGGTGGCAGATGTCTATAATCCCAGCTACTTGGGAGGCTGAGGCAGGAGAATCGCTTGAACCCGGGAGGTGGAGGTTGCAGGGAGCCGAGATCATGCCATTGCACTCTAGCCTGGGCAACAAGAATGAAGCTCTGTCTCAAAAAACAATTTACATTTATCTACTTTTATTTATTTTTTACATTTTTTTATAGAATGCCTCATGAATTTGCATGTCATCCTTGAGCAGGGGCCATGCTGATTAATCTTCTCTATATTGTTCCAATTTTAGTATATGTGCTGCTGAAGCGAGCACTATTTATTTTTCTTTAGAGAGAGGGATTTTCTCTGTTGCTCAGGCTGGAGGGCAATGAATGGCATGATCCTAACTCACACTGCAACCTCGATCTCCTGGGCTCAGGGATCCTCCCACCACAGCCTCCTCCACAGGTGTGCACCACAATATAATCTTGTAGAGATGAGGGTGTCGCTACATTGCTGGGATTAAACTCCTGGCCTCAAGCATTCCTCCTGCTTCGGCCTCCCAAAGTGCTGGGATTCCAGGAGTGTGCCTGGTTGCTTTGCATTCTTTCTTTCTTTTTTCTGAGACAGAGTCTTGCTCTTATTGCTATGCTGGTAATTTTTTGTATTTTTAGTAGAGACGGAGTTTCACTATGTTGGCCAGGCTGGTCTCAAACTCCTGACTTCAGGCGATCCACCCACCTCAGCCTCCCAAAGTGCTGGGATTATAGGCGTGAGCCACCATGCCCGGTCCTGCATTCTTTTATGAGATGGCCAGACAGATGTGGCCACAAGAGGAGCCAGAGGACAGGCTCAGGAAAACAGAGTTTATTGTACTCCCGGATCCGAGGGACAGGAAGCATGGCATGCCATGCAGGGCCAAAAGGAAAAGACACTGAGGTGGTCAAAGGGCAGAAGACAAGTGTGGAGGAGGTTTAGGCTAGTGCTTTTTGTGGTGGGGGGTTTTGCGGGAAAGGCAAGCCAGGGTAGTTTGAATAATTTCAGTAGCTTTGGGCTATACGTTGGTCCCTAATTGACTGGGAGCTGGTACTGGGCAGAAGAATTTTGCCTATGGGAATGTATAGGACAGATAGAGGGGGTGTGGGTCTGGGACTGGTTCATCTGCATATCAAAGACAGGCTTCTGGCTGAGCCCTTTGCTATCTCTAAAAATTGGCCAGCCCAGGGAGGGGCAGTCTCTCCCCAGCCAGAAAAGTTTATTTATTTTTTCTTTTTCTTCTTTTTAAATTTAATTTTATTATTTTTTTAAAGACGGGGTTTCACCATGTTGGTCAGGCTTGTCTTGAACTCCCGACCTCAGGTAATCCACCCGCCTTGGCCTCCAAAGTGCTTGGATTACAGGTGTGAGCCACCATGCTTTTATTTTATTTTATTTTCTTGTAGAGACAAGGTCTTGCTATGTTGCTCAGGCTGGTCTTGAACTCCTGGCCTCAAGCATCTTCTTGCCTCAGCCTCCCAAAGTTCTGGTATTACAAGCGTAAGCCACCACACCTGGCCGATAAAGGTTTTTCAGGGTGTGCATTCTTTTTTTTTGAGACAGAGTCTCCTTCTGTGGCTAGGCTGGAGTACAGTGGCTCAATCTCGGCTCACTGCAACCTTCACCTCCTGGGTTCAAGTGATTCTCCTGCCTCAGCCTCCTGAGTAGCTGGGACTACAGGCACACACCATCACGCCCAGCTAATTTTTGTATTTTTAGTGGAGACAGTGTTTCATCACATTGACCAGGATGATCTCAATCGCTTCACCTTGTGATCCACCCGCCTCAGGCTCCCAAATCACTGGAATTACAGGCATAGGCCACCGGGCCCGGCCCAGGGTGTGTATTCTTATTAATAAATTCAATTAATTAATTCATCCAGGCCAGGCATGGTGGCTCACCCTGTAATCCCAGCTGGGAGGTTGAGGCGGATGGATCAGCTGAGGTCAGGAGTTCGAGACCAGCCTGGCCAACATGGTGAAACTCCATCGCTACTAAAAATACAAAATTTCGCTGGGTGTGGTAGCAGGTGCCTGTAATCCCAGCTACTCAGGAGGCTAAGGCAGGAGAATCACTTGAACCTGGGAGGTGGAGTTTGCAGTGAGCTGAGATTGTGCCACTGCACTCCAGACTGAGCAGCAGAGACTCTGTCTTAAAAACAAACAAATAAATAAATTCATCCAAATCCAAAAGTATATTTCTTCCATACTGATCCAACACCTTCAGGATCTGTTCCCCTACATATTCCCTGACTTTCAGTCAGTATAAATCATCATTCGAGGATCTTGGTAAAAGGTGAAGGGAATTGTTTGCACTTTTTTGTTTGTTTTTTGTTTTAGAGACAGACTCTGGCTCTGTCAACAGGCTGGAGTGCAGTGTCACGATCTCGGCTCACTGCAACCTCTGCTTCCTGGGTTCAAGCTATTCTCATGCCTCAGCCTCCCAATTAGCTGGGGTTACAGGCATGTGCCACCACACCTAGCTAGTTTTTGTATTTTTGTAGAGAAAGGATTTCACCATGTTGGCCGGGATGATCTCGATCTCCTGACCTCGTGATCTGCCCACCTCGGCCTCCCAAAGTGCTGGGATTACAGGCAGGAGCCACTGCACCCGGCCTGTACTATTCTTACAGCTTTGCCGTAAATATGAAACGATGTTAAAGAAAACGTGAATCAATGTATACACTGACAAACTCTCAATATTCTTTTGGTGTGTATGGTACTTTCTCATGAGTCACCCTGTGGCCTGCTGTGACTTGAATCTCTGAGCTTACAGATCTAAAAGAGGGGGTAGGGTTGAGTTCCTAAGGGATCAGAGTACCCTGAGAGGCCACTAGCTCCGGGGAGGGCACAGGTTCTTCAGGTAAGGGAAGATTAACTGCAGATAGAGAGGAAGGTCACTTTTTTTGACTAAGGATGGACAGCCGAATTTAGGGTTTAAGGCAGGAGCGTCCAATCTTTTGGCTTCCCTGGGCCACATTGAAATATTTGTCTTGGGCCACGCATAAAATACACGAACACTAACAATAGCTGATGAGCAAAAAAAAAAAAAAGGAAAAAGCAAAAAAGTCACAACAAATAAACTCTAATGTTTTTGTTGTTGTTTTTGAGACACAGTTTCATTCTTGTTGCCCAGGCTGGAGTGCAACGATGCCATCTCGGCTCACTACAACCCCAGCCTCCCAGGTTCAAGCGAGTCTCCTGCCTCAGCCTTCCGAGTAGCTGGGATTACAGGTGCGTGCCACTATGCCCAGCTAAGTTTTATATTTTTTGTGAAGACAGGGTTTCACCATGTTGACCAGGCTGGTCTTGAACTCCTGATCTCAGGTGATCCACCCGGCTTGGCCTCCCAAAGTGCTGTGATTACAGGTATGAGCCACCACGCAGGCCAAACCTCATAATGTTTTAAGAAAGTTTACGAATTTGTGTTGGGCCACATTCAAAGGCATCCTGGGACACCTGCAGCCTGCGGGTCCACAGATTGGTCAAGCTTGGTTTACGGTTTTTGGCCTCATAGGAATCCATCCACATGTCTGTATCCTAAGATTCAGGGTCTTACTCCTTCCCAACCAATGGTCTTATTTTGAAAATAAGACACCCTGGTAGGTTATTTATTCATTTTGCACTGAAATTCTGTCTGATGCAAGTGAACACTTAGGGTTCGGTGATCAAAAATCTTGAGCTTGGCCAGACTCAGTGGCTCATGCCTGAAATCCCAGTACTTTGGGAGGCCGAGGTGGACAGATCACCTGAGGTTGGGAGTTCGAGACCAGCCTGACCAACATGGTGAAACCCTGTCTCTACAAAAACAAAACAAAACAAAACAAAACTTGAACTTGAGGCTACCAAAGATAAGAATTTTTTTTATTTTTATTTTTTTTAAGGCAGTCTTAAAGTGTTTTTGGTCCATTTTCCAGATCTTGGGGTGGAAATTTAAAGCATTCCTGTTTCTGCTAAAATGTTCTACAGCAGCAAATATTTGGCTACCCAAAACTTTGCCTTCTTTTTTTTTCTGAGACGGAGTTTCGCTCTTGCTACTCTTGGAGTGCAATGGTGCGATCTCGGCTCACTGCAACCTCTGCCTCCTGGGTTCAAGTGATTCTCCTGCCTCAGCCTCCCGAGTAGCTGGGATTATAGGCACGAGCCACCATGCCCAGCTAAATTTTTTGTATTTTTAGTAGAGACAGGGTTTCACCATGTTGACTAGGATGGTCTCGATCTCTTAACCTTGTGATCCACCCACCACACCCACCACGGCCTCCCAAAGTGCTGGGATTACAGGCGTGAGCCACCGCGCCCGGCCCAGCTTTTCCTTCTATAAGCATTTATCACAAGTGATTACAGCTAGAATGTAAGTAACTGTTGACTGCTGGCAACAATCATGAATGCACTTAAGTTGAATTAGATCAGAGAACCAGTTTCCAATTCCCATCCTTAATGATCTCTCTCCTGAAACCATGGCCAGTACTAGTAAATGTATCAGTGAGGGAGGTAGAACCATTATGAATGATGAGATAAGGAATTTTTTTAGTTTTGCTCTTGTTACCCAGGCTGGAGTGCAATGGCAGGATCTCGGCTCACCACAACCTCCGCCTTCTAGGTTCAAGCAATTCTCCTGCCTCAGCCTCCTGAGTAGCTGGGACTACAGGCGCGCGCCAGCATGCCCAGCTAATTTTTGTATTTTAGTAGAGACGGGGTTTCACCTTGTTGACCAGGATGGTCTCGATCTCTTGACCTCGTGATCTACCCGCCTCGGCCTCCCAAAGTGCTGGGATTATAGGCGTGAGCCACCGCACCCGGCGGAGATAAGGAATTTATTATGGGAATTATGCTTCACACAGTTGTAGAAGCTGGGGAAATGAAAGACCAAGAGGGCAGTCAGAATCAGAAGAGGAGTCACCAATGTGGGAAGGGAACTGCATCTGGCCACTGACATAGGGCTATGGTGAGAAGGCTCATGGAGAGCCACCTGGGCAGCCGCCCCCTCTGTGGATCCATCACCAAGTGCCTGATGGTCACTGGTGGTCAACAGGGTCAGCAATTGGCAAGCATTTCTGGACACTGATCAGAGCAAAGCAAGGACAAGCTAGAGCTCTAGAGCTCACTAAAGCTTCTGTCACCACATCTAACCACAATGACATTTAGAGAATAATACTTGTGGCTGGGCACAGTGGCTCACACCTGTACAGCACTTTGGGAGGTCGAGGTGGGTGGATCACTTGAGGTCAGGAGTGCGAGACCATCCAGGCCAACGTGGTGAAACCTTGTCTCTACTAAAAATACAAGAATTAACTGGGTG